GTATTTCTAAGTTATGTATGACTATTTTTTAGGTATTTTTGTCTCTTTAATAACAATATACATATTAGATTTTTTAACCTTAAAACTCTCAAATCTGTTATCACTGCATGCCAACGAAGTAATTTTGAAGTTAATAATGCAATCAGGTAGAAATGGAACAAATCGTGGAGGCAGTGGATATCTGTACACTAGACGGTAGCCAAGATTTATAAGCAACCGAATCTATTATTTGTGATTTTGGCATTATGTCGTTTAATACAGTTCGTAAGAGCACCTTCGTATGAGAAACATTCATAGAAATAATAATAATAATAATTATTATTATTATCATTATTATTAATTATTATTATTATAGTAACAATTATAACAGTAATAATAGTAATCATGTTAACAGAAGGAACGTTTGATGCAGATCTGCACCATACAGGGTCAATCCACAAGTAGATGTCAGGAAATGTGAATCTTGTTGTATATATTGTGGCATTTGGGACATGAACCAACCACCCAAGCCGCCCACGGAGCTACAGCGTCGCCTAGACAATTCGCCACAATAAAAGCACACATCTATTGTAGGTATTCCAGCTATCTACCATCAGCGCAACACCGCCCCAGCCGAGGCAAGCTCCGGGCTCCTGACAGATCGCATGACATGGGTAATAGAGTATTGCATATATATATATATATATATATATATATATATATATATATATATATATATATATATGTGTGTGTGTGTGTGTGTGTGTGTGTGTGTGTGTGTAAGAGAGAATATGATAGTGAATAGGAAGGAAATATAGTGCGCGGTACATGTCCCGTTTATTAGGGCACTGCTCTGATAATCTCCTAATATTAATCGGGAAAACAGAGGAAAACTACTGATCAGAGCAGCTCACCGCCAGAATTATTCTCCAGACAGTGGCTGAATTCGACCTATCTAGTATGTAGGTAGTGTCTAAAATCCTGCCACCACAGGGACTCAAATCCTAGGACTTCCAAGTCAGAGGCACTGCAGAGTCATCAGTTGATGCGCTTAGCCACCGCAGCCGGAAGTGGTGTGGATTTAAGTAAGCTATTTTTTCAGTTGATAATATTTGAAAGTATTTCTGTTCCGCATAAACGTTCAAAATTCATTCCCATGAAACAATTAAGCACTTCCCTTATAACTATTGCCTTCCAATCTGCATTTCATTACGGGAATGCGAGTTTCATAAGACTCTACTAATCTGAGCAATTAATGAGAGTTTAATAGAAAGATGTCACGCTTCCTTGGGGTAGATTCCAACTACCGTTTGCCATAATGAGCACTTTGTTGGCGGGTAAGCGAGAGACCATGTAACTAGCAAAGTCTTTCAAAATCTCCCACGGGACACTAACATTTCGAAAGTGCAGTACAAAGCCTCATAATTTTAAGAAGCGCTCAGAACTTTCCCATACCTTTCTTCCCGTTTCTCTTTGCAACCCTGCCGTTGCGTCAACAGAAGGTCCGAGTCTCATGCGAGTCAAATGTTCAAAATAGAAAAAAATACAGTAAATAATTATTGTTGACATTTAACTTTGTTTTTATGAGTACTTTTAATTTTATAAAATTAACCTGATTTATTAATGGGGAAACACTGGAATATGCATAAACGGTAAGTCGAGACACACTGAACTTTGCCTTACTTGGACAACCTCCAACATTTCGAGGCCAAAAACAATAGCCAACATTCTACGAGGCTCTTGCGGGGTCCATTTCCCTACCGTAATGAGCAGTTCGTTGGCGGATGAGCGAGCCGCCGGTTAATGAGCAAACTCGAAATAGCCCTCCGGAGACCGCCGTTACGAAAGAGAGTTTCGGAGCTCATATTCCCTCGTACCTTTCGTCCGTCTGTCAGGGCTGCCATCGGCGCTCTGGCGTGCGAGGTCGCCGCTCCGGCCGGAAGAGAAAGAGCGCAACGCGAGAGGGAGGAGCGGGAAAGAGAAGAGGGGATGGGAGTGAGGAGTTCGGACGGAGACGGTGGGAGGAAGTTGGGAAGGCGCAAAGGGCAGAGAAAATCCAAAATGACCAAGGGAGGGGGAACTTTGCACGGTAGAAAAGTGCGTTGAGAACAAAGAAGTAGTGCGTCCAAGGACGACGAAGAGTGGATCGTGACAAAGCGGCATGGAGCCTTGAAATGGAGATAAAAAATTGAGTTGGAAAGGAAAGAAGAATATGGCGAGAAAGTATAGTGTGAAAGTGACGGAGCGTGGCGTTAGAGAGATGCAGCGTAACGTGAAAGAGATGGAGAGATGTGAGTAGCATAGCTTGAGAGAAAAACGACAGGAATGTGGCCTGAGTGATGTTGAAAGCGCGGCGTGAGAACGAAAGAGCCTGATATGAGAGACACGGAACGTAAAGTGGGAGAGGTGAGGAGCGTGTGTTCTGAGAAAAACGTCAGGAACGAGGCGGGAGAGACCTTGAGAGCGTGGGGCGAGAGTGAGGGAGCGTGACGCGAGAGAGACGTGAGGAGCGTGCCTTCAGAGAAAAACATTCGGAGCGTGAAATGAGAGACGATGAGACCATGGAGTGAGAGTGAAAAAGCATGGCATGAGAGTGAAAGGGCGTGACGTGGGAGAGATGGAGTGAAAAGTGAAGGATCGTGAGGTGAGGAGCGTGGCGTGATAAACATAGGGAGTGTGAACAAGAGAAAGAGCACGGAAGAAGTACAGCAGCGAGTGTGGAACATAGCAAGGTGGGGCGGAGCGGGAGTTTTCTCTTAAAACATCGCGTCTGCTGCGGTTCTCTCAGCAAGCGGCGTAGAACCAAAGCAAACATCTGCGAGCTGGGAATTCGCCGGTCGCGAAACGGCACTGGCCACCGTCGGTACACAAGTGCAAACGGCGCACAGATTCCTCTTGCCACACAGCCTGGCTAGAAGGAAATCCACGTCCTAGCAGCTCCGTTGGTGAACGTAAAAGAAAACTAAGCGGATATGGTTATCTTCCATAATTGAGGTGTTAGTGCTTGCTGTGGGTTTCTTCGCAATATACTGTGACTCCATCTACACAAGATCTTCGTGAGAGTCTCTAAACACCATTTAATATATGTTGAATGTGTTGGCTTGCTGGAATAAATGAGGGTCTCGTGTACTCACACGTATAATGTATGTTCTAAAAAATCTTTGCATTCTTTGACCACCTTAGCGATGTTACTTGCGAGAGCGTCTGATGCGAGAGAGGATATCATTCACTTTAAGAATCTTTTGTTCTTCAATTTCTGAAAAAAATAAATTTTGAAATTACGCTGTGGTATCAGACCGTGTATTATTATTTGAGCTGAATATTAATCATTTCAATGCAACAGGCAATAATTCAATTACCGAATAACTTTGTTTCAAATTTTTGCCTCTCGAATGCAGTTAAAGATATTTTTATCCGCTCTCATGACAATTATTCAGATTTCACAGCCAAAATTTTAAGTATCATTCATTTTCACTACATAAACAGGAACGGCGATTTCGAGATCTACCCGATAGTTTGAGAAAACCACTAATATGTCGTTTAAATTACTGAATGCTAGTGAAAACCATCGTTTTGAAATAAAAATTGCGATTAACGCATTATATTTAAGTTTTCAAGAACTCGTTCGAAAATATTTCTAAAAGTATATTATGAAAAGAAAGCTGTAAAACAATATGAAATTTGACAATATTATATTAAAACGATCACTTCGTTTTACACTGCATCCCACAAGTTCGTACTGCGTTTTCCACATGAAGACAGGTTGTCATTTTTTTTAATTTATTTATTTACGTCAAAAACAGTTAAAAACTATGTGTGACGTGCAATGGGAAGAAGTTAATTTGAAGTTACACTTATGTCCAGAATAAAACGAGGAGCGATCTCAGTATTTGCTCAAAAATCACGGAAACTGGACTAAAACCTGATCGAGATGCGGGTCATTGGCCCTGCCGCTGAAGTACAATATTTGTTACAGGTACTTTAGAATTACACAATCCAAATGGTAAATAATACATTAAATGTTATTGTTATTTATCAAATGTGTTATTTAATTCCATTAACAGACCATTAGACAAATTGATGTATTTTCAGTTTCTAAATTCCTTGTAAATAAAACAATCCAGTATTCATTTGTAAGAAAATTATTTCTAATTACTGAATTTGAACTAATTCATAGAAACATAAGTGGGCAGTGTCCCACCACTTACTACAAATTGTTCATGTGATCCTCCAACTAGCAGAGATATAACACTTCAGGAGCAACCAAACGTGGTTAAAGACCCGACTGGCAGCGCCATTATTTGGCACTACAGAGCCAGTGTTCCTCTTTAAGCAATACTTGATTATCATACATTTATGCCACCACAAATTTGCAGTTTACTTTCTCATTTATTTCCACTTTCCCTTGAATATTGTTGCTCTTGGGTCATATACAAATAAAATACTTTTATTCTAGTTGCATACAGAAAAATCCTTAGAAATAAGCTAATATTTGGATGTGTGCTTAAAATAGTTTGTGTATTTGGTATCTAAATACGTATACGTAAACCGACGTATCTAAATCGGTCATCGGCTGTTGTCTAAAAATGTGCTTTCAGTCAAATAAGAGAGTTAAATAGTTGACGTATACTTTAGGTATTATTTCCATTTGTAAGATTAAACGTACTATCTTTAATTCTCACATTTTTCCTGCTTTGTCAATGTAAGTAAAAAATAGCATTTCAGATATGAAAAAATAATGGTATTTTTTTATGTTTTACCATATGTGGTCATATCATTTCTTAATTCCCTGCACTGAGAATTGGATTCTTTTACTTAAAACGATATTTCCTTCAACAAAATTTGGCTTTAATTTTGCCCACGAACATGTTAAATTCAGTTTCCCTTCAAAAGACCCACCAAAGCATACATCGTTGTTGTGTCACTGATCCTATCTGCCATACTCGTACTAGAGGGACTCCACGAGAGAGCATAGTGCCAGCGAGAGACAGAGAGAGAGAGAGAGAGAGCAACAGAGAGCGCTAGGGGTAAAAGAGTAGCGCGCCCGGCGCTGTCGCCGTAACTTCGTCAGCTGCCTTATCCCCTCCGCGCGTCTGGCGCAGCAGCCGCCTGTTCTGCGGGTGATCCGGAGCAACGCTGCCGTATCTGCCCCTCTCCCTCTTCCTCTTCCTCTCCCTCTCGCGGTCAGGAGGGGAGAGGGAAGCAGAGAGGGGAAGGTCGAGGAGATCGCGTCCAACGCGGAACCGACAAATCAACTTACCGCTCTGCTGCTCCGACACGACGACAAAGCGAGCAAAGTGAGTCCACCCACCCCCCTTCCCCAGCCCACTTCACGGCTCAAGCGGCGTAACATCATTTCCAGCTGAAAGAAGACTAATGAGTTTGGAAATCTTTTTGCCACTTGTGTGGAGGAATTCACTCTTCCTGCGATATGGGTGACATTTCCAATACTCTAGACATTATTTCGCGGAAGAGGGAAAGTTCAGATTGAAACGTTGAGGTTGGATGCGCTGATCGCAGAAATGACAAATTGCCCCTCTGCCTTTCTGGTAAGAGCAGGATTTCTTTCCGTGGTAGCCGTTTTCAATAATAAGTCCAGACTCACCCGTTGTGCAATTACTGAGTTAGTTGTCTTTTCACGGCTCAAGCTTGACGCTTGGAGCGGTGAGAATGTCATAGGGGTCAAATGACCCTCATCTAGCATCCATGCTTACCTATTGCAATGTTTTTTCTTCCATTAGGTGTCCGGTAAAACCTAACTTACCCTATGTTAAATTACAATGGTCTGCGTTTTTAAAAAAGTTTATGATATTTAAATTTTTCAACGGTTTTTATAGAAATTGACCAAGCTGAACATGAAAATATTATTATTTTTCCTCAATGGCGTCTAGTTTTTTGTACTATGGATCCTATGACTACTACGCATTCTGTTTTTACCATTACGACATTTTCTGTTTATAAAGGGTTAACTTGATAAAAGACGTGAAAATAACAGCAGATTATAGGAAGGTAACTATTAAGTGAATTAAATACAAGATAGTTTCAGCGCATTCTTTGTTCATAGAACATTTTATTTAAACAAACATAAATAGTGAAAAAATCCTACTCCCTTAGACCTTTTCTATATTGTCCCTCGTGAGTAATAAATATGAATGATTGAAATCAATGTAACTATTTCTCCTTTCTTTAATTGCATTTTAAAGGATTTATTTACAAAAGACAATTTATTTTATAGAAATGATTACTTAAGCGCCTTTCGTTGATGTCTGGCTCCAGGTTCATCCCTTTTCAGCCACCAACAAAATCTAGCCACCATATTGATGTCCCAGCGACATAGATACCCCTGTACCTCTTAAATATAAAATAAAGTCTCTCAACATTAATTACCTTGTAATTTTGTGAAGCAAACGTAGCATCCTTAATTGATCCTTTCCTTCCACCCGCACCATAGGTATACTGAAGGGTAATTGTATTTACGATTCCCTTGTTCAATCATCTAAGCCTACTTAACACATGTTCGACATCAAAGATATGGAACAAATATCTTGTACGGATCTCTCGGATTTCATATCAAAATAAACGTAATGACTTGGCTTCACAAATGGTGTACTCTTAATGTTTGTTCTTTCCCTGGCAACGTCACTTTACCACACATGTAGCAAAATATATTTGGGTTATTTTTCCTTTTATACTATTCATATAAATTAATGAAAATTAGATATCTTTAACATGTGATTATCTAATTATATCGATCAAGTAATTATAACATTCTGTCTAAAAATAAAATATTTCTAAAAATTAGCATTAACATCTAATAAAGACCAGAAATGTCAAAAATATACATTGGATTGTAGATAGAAAACTGAAAATGATGTGGAAATAACGATTGCAGATTTGAAATTAGCGTGAAAAAAACATAAAGAAACAAATAAAATATTACAGACGTCAAAAATGACGCAGATCGTAGCAGTTTTAGTGTATATTTTCTCAGAAACTATATAATAAACATTTTTGGAATAAATAGAGAGCATGCTATCTACTCTTCATCTTTTAAACTGAAGAATTTGCCATATCTAGCAGAGTTATTGTTTAAAAAAATAATTCGTTGAACATTAGCAAATTTCTACATTTTTATATATTAGAAGTCAATTTTTTTTAAATCTAATAGAGAAAATGTAAAAACCCTGTATTCAAATATTGTTAATAACATGGTGTAGCACTCCTAAAAATTTCATGGATTTATCTTTAATACTTTTTGAGAAGAGGTACACATTGTAAGAAAAAATACAACTTACGGTAAACAGCATGTGGTAAACACTAGTGACTGCAACTACACCATTTAGAGATGTGCGTCCTCGTTTTTGCCACAAACCATCATGAGCAGCAGATGCAGCAGATAAATTCATCAATGGCCTCTTTAGTAGCATTTTCCATACATTTTAATGCTGCCCCCTTAACTCTATTTCCAATTGTGTTGTTATATTTTCCAAATCTTGAGGGAGAAGTAGGAAGACCTTATACCATACAACACACTAACTGCTGCAGAATATTTTCCTATTGTCCGTAGACTATACCCTACTCTTACATTAACACTATAAAATTTTAAATTGAAATTAAACGTTGTTGAATTACAAAAAAACACTGGTAATCACCCTTCACAAAATAAAGCTCAAAATATGTTGCTAGACCACTACGTCGCACTGTTTCTAGAAGTAAACCTCCACAACTGCATTTCCTACAAGACACAAAAAAATTATAATTCAGGAAATTCATGTCAAAACTTTAATTGACATTTTTTCTCCGCCCTTCTGTATCGTATTTCTTTTCACTTCCACTCATCATCTTTTGCAATGAACTCTCGCACAATGACATGACCTCAGCACTGCTTTCAGTTGGATCTGTATCCAAGCTCACACTTTGTACAGCTTTTCGCTTACAGACATTTCTTCTCTTTTTAAAAACTTGAAGGAAACTTTTTCCCATTTGAGAAGAAATCGATAACCGTAGCTAAGAAATATACTATCAAATATCTTTCTAATCACACAACACAACAAACAGCAACACAACACATCAAAACTTACAGGCGTGGACTAGTAGGTCTGTGTATTTTGAACTTTGAGAGCCAAATGAACATCAAATAACGTCACAGAGTTCACAAATAACATTGCAGCCAACTTCGGATAGTATTTTTCACACATAGGGCGGGCAATTCAAAAATGTTTTAGAAAATTCGAAATTCCATACTACTTTATTCGACCAGTAGAAATATTGCCAGTTCCTTACGGGCGCCGCGCCCCCTCTCACGTTCTTAAAAAAATACATTCAGCAACTTAGGAACGACAAAAGAGTATGTACTATTTAAAGGGGAAATCATACTGTTTAGAACTGTTAAAAAGTAAAATTGATTTTTTTTTTCATTTTTGCCTTTCCGGGCCCCTTAAACACTTTTGTATCTTCTAGAACTTGTTTTGGATTCTTTGTACTTTCTTGTATGCTTTTACGTACTTTTCGGTGATTTCACATCCACGAAAGAAAACTTTTATCACTATAGGCAAAAGTTTAGTTATTTTTGTAAGTTCTGCGACAGTGGAATGTCGCTTGCTTAATTTCCCGTAATTGATTAAAGTTACTTATACTTGTTTTAAATGGCAGACTTGTTGAGAAAATATGAAAGGGAATTACAAAACATTGTTGAAAACAAAAATAGTATTATTTTAAAACTGCACTTCTAGCAGTTATTTTAGACAGTTTTTCGACTTAAGAAACGATATTGGTAAAGATTTTCGTAGCTATCGCTATTGAAGATTCAATTCCGTATATCCAATATCTTCCTGAATACCTCGACACGACGGCTTCCCTTGTTAGGCCTTCTTCTGAAAAGAGAACGTTAACACAGCAGGGACGATAAACGACGGGGCATGTAATAGAGACAAGAGCACAATGGGCCGGTAGTTGCTTCCATGAACGCCTTCATCAAGAAAATATGGCGCGAGAGATAAGATACACTGAGGAAAGAGCCAAAAGGGTGTTATTGAGCTGGGGAAGATTCACGAGTCTGTCGTTAGAAGAGGTTCACGCCAGAGAAGCTGTGGTGGTCTGACAGTTCCTTGTTGTATTTTAAGATGAAAATGAAAAACGTTGGTGGGTTGTGGAAAAGGTGTCCACATGTATATTGTGAAAATGCTGAACATTAAAAACGTAGAGGCAGATTATATTAACGTCAACTCCAATCTCTGTTGCTAGTATTTGCACAAATTTCCTTTTTTAAGGAATGTACTGATAATTTACTTTCTCTTATTTCTTTAATACGATATCTCTTTTATAAATCATAATAATATACTGTAATATTATTTTTTCAGTGTTCTCATTGTCCACGGTAGTTAGGACCGACAATAGCAATTGAAGTGGATGAAATTTGTTAAAAATGACCATATATTTTGTAAACACAATACGTTTATTCTATGCTAATTATTAACAAACATATTCGAGCTTAATGAAAAATTAAATTGCAACAATGGTGTGTTGTGATGAATTCTCATTTAAGTAGATGTTGTTAGTTCTTTTGTATGAATACTTTTTTCATTTCTATAAAACATTTTTTGAACGAACAGTTGTAATAAAAATATGCGTGAATTAAAAATTTCTCATATGCATTGTTTCCATTAAAAGAAGATACTTCCGAATCCATTAATACACTTTTCTGCCTATTCCTTCTATCTTTAAACCCCACCGTGTGGAGTTTTATCTTGTCCTACTCAATCTGCCAGCTACTGCAGATGCACGCAGACGCACTGCACTGCAGACGCACTTAAATGTCAGACTGGCAGGAGTGTGGTCCAGTGAGCTTCGTGCATGACTACCATCACCATGAGTTTGTTGAGTGGCTATGTAAGTCACGCGAGTGACTCAACTGGAAACGTGTATACCTTTGTGGATTGCGTGATTCTCTTCTGGTCGCGTGGCGGTTGCAAAAGTCTTATTTGTTTTACAAATTAGAGAGTGAATCTGTTTTGCTCATTGAGCGGAATTTACGAATAGGGTGTGTATGGCTCCCGTTAGCAGATCTATTAGTTACCTAAGTAACTCCGAGTGTCATAACACATTGACAATAGGTCAGTCGGGAGCCTGGAGCTTGTCCCGGATGGAACGGTGCCCCGCTGGTGGGAGATGCCTGGTTGGGGAAAAGCCGCTACTCGACGTGGAGGTCGTCACCAGATCTCACCATTCGGGGAGAGAAGATCACCGCCTCCTCACGAGGGAAAACATGACTACACTTGCGGGAATAATGACCGTAGCCGTTGACGCTCACGGAAACACGAAATAATCAATGAATCAATAGTGTAGTACTCGTATGTGGTTTTGAGAGGTACGACAGTAGATCCGTATGTCCTGAGTGACCTAAATCAAGCTGTTTTCTTATCATTTATCAGCAACCTGGAACTGTTTCTCCAACGTTTTGCTGGCTCTGTCAGAAATGAAATAGCGGGGGCTGAATTTAGGTAGCGAACGTGAGGTTTCCTCCCAAAGGAGAAAAGCGAATTTCGTTTTGCCTCTCCCTTCCCCTTCCATCCCTTCATCTCCACCTAGCGCCAGACGCTGCCGTCGAGAGATAAGGGTCCTTGCAATTTCTCCCTTCATGAATTTATTCGTATTTATGTGGCATAACAACCTCGGGGAAATAACTTTGCTTTAACACGTGCGTATGGAGAGCACAAAAGCCCATGATAAGAAGCATTTTCTGGGAGGTGAGTCCGAGTTATGATTTAAAGCATTAGGTGAAATTGCAAGTGTTATTTATGTTACAAATCATAATGAAGTCATTTTTCTTTGCCTCCATTCAAACTGTTCTAATTTTTGTATTGTTTTTGTTTTCAAACAATGTTGGTTGTCAGAAACAAATGAAATGTAAACATTCTCACAAGATCACCAAATTATGAATTACTTTATTTTTTTAATTATTATACTGCTGTTGTGATATGTTATACCCACCCGCCCGCCTACCCAAAGCCAGCCTCCCCGCCCGCCCTCTCGCCCGCCAGCCCGCTCACTCACTCAATCACTCACTCACTTGTGCATGTTTTCTATTGTATAAAAATTGTAAACGTATGTATGTATATATTTATGTATGATTGTGCGTGTGTGTGGATGTTTGCATATATCTCAAAACTTATCCAATTACCAAAGCGCTTGCGCCCAAAATTGGCAGAAATACTTGTGAATGCTCAGAATCCAGTCTATAGTTGAGTTTCGATACAAAATATTGCCACGAAATACGTTGTTTCTTTTTATAAAATCCAAATGGGTACTCTTAGACATAGATAAGAGGCCTGGCGCGCTATCTATCAGCAGACCTACCTGCCTCTACGCATTGCGCGCCCTCAAGTGACGGCGAACCGAAAGGAACGTTTTTGCTTTCATTCTGCGAAAAGGTTACTATTCCAATAAGAGAGTACATCTTAGCTTGCGAAAGTGAACGTTAGTGTTGATATTGGTTTATAAATAATACATATGTTAAAAAAATATAATAGAACAAAAGATTGTGAAAACCTAAAGATTTATTTATATTTGGAGAATGCGAATAGACACGTTCGCACGCTATCTAGCAGCAACCCTAGCACCTAAATTTATTCTAAATCTTTCAACATTTTAAATCACATTTTGAGGATAATGAGATATTTCTGTAATATGACTCAAGATCGTTAGCGATACTGAAAACCAATTATAGTTCAACAAAGACATTTTATAATTACTGATTAAATGTTATCAAATAGTTCATAGCCCTTACATTTTTTTTATTACTTCTTGGGTGTTGTCCGAGTTTAAATTATTATTGTTAACGTTTTCAAAATTCAAATTTTTCTGAAATTTGTTATTTTTACACTCCGTAGCAAGAAGTGATAGAGAAGTACATTAATCACAAATAGGAAGGGGAGATGATTACATTAAATGCAGTAAAATTTGTGTGATATGTTTTTCATTTCGGTACGATAATTTGTTATCTTCTATTCATTTTTAAACTAGTCTTAAAGTCCCATTTTTATCATTTTATAAATGTTGCTACTTTTATATGGGCACCAAAAGATGTTCGGCTGGAATGTTCGGAAGGTTTATTTTGCAATTAATATTTCCTCAGATGCCTTGAAATATATATTTTTGGGTTGACTAACGGCTTAATATTCGCCATCAATTTTGGTCTAAACATATATTAATAAATTTTGGTATGGAAATTTTAGTAACAAAAATTTCCTGTTTAAGAAATTATCGAATCACTTACATTATTTTTTTGTATTTTAGTTATATTATAGGGGATTTCTTAAATGCAGTTGTTTATTTCTGATCTTGATTTGAGGTTTATCTCTACTTATTTTTGAGAGAGAGTCTCTAAATATGATAGGCCTTATAGTTTTGGTTCTCAGATTTGTCAATTTTTCGTAAGGAGTGTCATACGGAATACAATTCTGCAATTTTCATGGAAGTTAGTGTCTGGAGGGTCTGTGTCAATTTAAAGTCATGAGAATGAATTATCCGTCTCCGTTTTCATTTTTTCCTCCAACGGTGTATTCTTGGGTGTATGAACTTTTACTAATGTCTATGAATTATTTGTTCCATTTTATGTAATTAATTTTTCCTCTCCATATTCTCTGAAGTTTAATTAGAATGAGTATTGTAAAGAATCCAAAGTGTATTATTACAGATTATTTTAATTTCTATTTGGGGTACTTTTTTCGAGATTATATTTATTCTCTTTATATAGAAATGTGTGAGCTAGTGAAAGTTCTTGAGCTTGAAATGCATCCAATTGGTGAGGTGTAGGTTCTCCATTAGCAATTCTCAAAGCTTGGTTATGAGAAAAAAATTGATTTGGAATAAATTAGTTTTCCTGAATATTGTTGTAATAGTTGTTAATACTTACTTTCTTCAGTAATCTAAATTACCCATTTCTAATGTGAGCAGAAATTGGAAGAAAACTATGTAGCCTCCGGCCACGTGAGAGGCGTCTGTTGTTTTGTAAAATATCTAGGAGCTCGGAGAAAATCCAAAAACAAAACATTAGATTTTGACTCAAAAAATG